TTTACCTTCCCTGTGTCAGCACAAAGGTCATTCTGTGTGACCTCCTGGAGCACCAGAATGATTGTGTGGCCATTCCATGCATCTCTGTGGGCAACAGGAGCTCAGTGAGTCTTTACTTACAAGTGGCACAAATGTTTGGCAAATGTTTCTTTTAATTTATAATTTTTTATTTATTAATTTTAATTATTTATACATTTAATCACTATACATCATTTACATTGTAAAGAGACTTTACCCAGCATGACACACAGCTCAGCCCAGCCCAGTTGAGAATATAGGCATGTCTTCATCAACAAACAATAAACTATATCTGTGTCCCACAAATGTCTTACCTCTCCATTTTTTCCCTGAGTTTCCTTTCCTACACTCTTTACCTCCCCTACTCTTTCCACTTTGTCTCTAGTGTCCATAATAATATTTAATCTTGTATGTCCCCCAGTCTTTCAGTCTCTGCCATAGAGTACGGACAGTCGGTATACATTGAGTGGAGACATACAATGTCTCTCTTTCCTAGCCTGACTTGCTTCACTCAGCAACAGATCTTCCAAATTCGTCCCCCTTCTATCAAATTCCAGGGCCTTGCTGTTTTTTATGGCCGAATAGTATTCCATGGAGTATATATGCCACACTTTTTCAATTCATTCATTCGTGTGTAGACATTTGGGTTGGTTCCATGTCTTAGCAATTGTGAATAAGGTTGCAATGAATATTGATGTGTAAGCGCTTTTCCAATTGGGCGTTCTCCTGTCCTTTAGGTAGATACCCAGGAGTGGAATTGCTGGATCATATAGTAGTTCTATTTGAAGGTCTTTGAGGAACCTCCATATTGTTCTCCACAGTGGCTGGATCAATTTACGATCCCTCCAACAGTGTAGGAGTGAGTGTTCCCCTTTCATGGCATCTCTTCCAGCACTTACCATCTTTTGTTTTTTTTAATCTTTGCCATTCTGACTGGGGTTAGGTGGTATTTCATTGTGGTTTTGATCTGCATCTCCCTTATAATGAGGGATGCTGAACATTTCTTTATATACTTTTTGGCTCTTCACATGTCTTCCTTAGAGCATTGTTCATTCAGCTCATTTTTGCCATCCTTTAATTGGGTTAATCTTTCTTTTCCAGGTAAGCTGCTTGAGTTCTCTGTGTATTCTGGTTATCAGTCTGAGGCACAGTTAACAAAAATTCCTTCTCATTCTGAGAGTTGTCAGTGCACACTAATGACAGTGTCCATTGCTGTGCAGAAACTTCTTAATCTGATGTAATCCCACTTGTCTATTTTGGGGACCATAGCCTGAGTTTTGGGGGTCTTACTTAAGAAGTCTTGGCCTACCCCAGTGTCTCCCAGAGTTTCCCCAATGTTTTCCACCAATCATTTTATCATTTGTGGTCTTTGGTTTAGATCTTTGATCCACTTTGAGTTGATTTTTGTTAATGGTGACAGATAGGGTTCAGATTCCCCCTCTGCAAGTGGATACGCAGTTTTTCCAGCACCATTTGCTAAAGTGGTTTTCCTCTTTCCCACTGAATTGACTGGTACTCTTTGTCAAAGAAGAGTTGGCTGTATGTTTTGGGGTTTATTTCTGGGGCCTCCACTCTGTTCCATTGGTCCTCATGTCTGTTTTTGTGCCAATGTTTTGCAAATGTTTCTGCTGAGGTCTCCATTTATGCAGGAATTTTTCACTAGATATATATCTAGATAAATATGTGGTTAATGCATGTATACCTAATTAAAACAACATGATGGCAACAGGCTTTCAGCTATGTGAATTGTATCCAAGAACTGCAACTACTTTGACACAGTACCTTCTGTAACTCTGAAGAGACTATAAGGATGAAGATTACAAAGAACAGGCTGAGCCCTGTGGCAATAACCATCTGTGAGGGAATCCACCAACAGTAAGGAAACTGCAGGAAGGACAACCTCCCTCTGGGTTGCCAATGTAAACTGAAATGTGTGGAATCTATTTGTGTCTTGTCCTCTATGGCAAGTCAAGGGCAAATGCCCGGTTTTCCCTGGGGACTTCCTTTCTTTCTTATGTACTTATTTATTTATTTTGTAGGTTTTTGCCATACGGGATGTGCTTTTGCCAGATAAAGACAGAAGACAGAGACAGAGATAGAAAGTAAGACATCACTCCCCTCCCTCCAAGAGGGGGGGTGGGGGGGATGGCCATGATGCAATCCCTCCTCCATTCTCCTGGGATTTTAGGCACCTGTGCACATGTGCTGGCTGTGATTCTCAAGCTACCAAGTCCAGGGCTTGAACCATGTTGGCCATGCGGGAGTTCAGCCACCTTAACGACCACACCACCTGCTGGCCCCTCCCTGCAGACTGTCAATCAAAATGGTAAGTAACCAGAATTAGCTTGGCATTCCCAGCTGCCCCGCCTCCAAACCGTGAGCATTCTAACGGGTCTAAAATCATGCCGACTCTCATTCTCTACTGTAAGATTCTCCAGTCTTGTCTTTCATTTTACATTTTTATTATTGTTTAAATTTATTTTTTAAACATTTCTCAGAAGAAGTGAAAATGATGGCTGCTGTTTAAACAATAATCCTGTCCCTGATGTGTTACCAGCAGGACACAGCTCTCTGTGGAGCTCAGTAACAACTCAGAGCGCCGTCCTCCCTTCCCTGGCAGCCACAGCACCCTAACACCTCGGACGTGTCTCCACAGTAACTCCAGGGTGCAGGACTGGCCTGGATGAGGTGCAGAGGGCAAAGCACACGCTGCCCAGGGGTGTGAGCGGGACGTGACCATGACCCTCCCGAATCCAAGCATTTCAACATCTGCTGCACAGCATTCTTAAGGATACTTTCTATGAATAGCAAGAAAAGAAAGTTGCCTAATATTTAAATATTATAGTAAAATACTAGAACAAAGCACGTTTCAACTTTATGTAACAATTACCTTTTTCCCCCTGTATTTAAAGATACCTTCACCTTGGGTCAACAGGTGGAGTAAAACGAGCTTCCAGGGTAGGGTCAGCTCAGTGGCCCAGGCCCCTTTGTTCACGGCTAGTCCCTGGTTCCCAGCTGCCCTGTAACTCAGCAGCGGTCACACGGCTGGCTTCCTGGCAGTGCACACGGACTCCTTCCACCCTCCCAGGCCTCAGACCATCTTCGGCCGGACGTTTCCAGCTAGTGTCAGAAGGCAGACAGGGACTGCTGCTGCTGAAGGCCTTGCATCCTTTCTGCATGTCAAGCTTGGACTGACCGACATTTCCCATTATACTGTTGGCCCCTGATGTCATCGTAACTGTTTGCTTCGACCCTCCCGGCCACTCACTCATCCCAGACCACTCGGCGCAGAAGGCCAGGGTACGCTGGACAGGACATCGATGCCATCATTTTCTGCCTTATCACAGAGCCGCGGGTCTCGCACACAGACACAGTCGGAATTACACCAGCCTTAAAATAAACTCGAGAGAGTACCTAGGCCTGTGTTAAATGTTGTCTCTGTCACTCACTGGTAACAGCTTCTTTCATGTTCGAGAGATAGTCTGATGACAATTCTGGCAATTAATTTCCTTTTTAAAATTAGACTTTTTCCTAACCATTTTATTTCTATAATTATTTAATTACTTAATTTAATAGCCATTAAAATGGTTAATTTATTAAATTAACCCTCATGAGTCTAGCCTGATTGGATGAATATTTTAATCAACAAAAGATTTTCGTAGTAGGAAAAGTCATGGCAGTCCCATCTGAGAGTTACAAAGAGCCACTTCCATCTGAAATTCCTTATTTACAGAAGTATGCTTTCTGCATCATACAAAGGGCATTCACTAGATGGCCAGTGTGGACAGCTGGTGTCTGCTGTTTAACTTCACAGTGTTAAAATAAGAAGAAACATTCATCGTCTTTAAATAACGTGACATTTGCCCAACAGTCTCTCTTGCTGACTCAAGGGCATTCTCAGGTCTCTGAACACCAGATCGAGCCCTGTTTCTGCCAGGGCGTCCTCCACAGCCTCCCACCTGCACCAAGATCAGACCTCTGTCATCTCCTGTGTTCGTTCTGCGACCTCGTCTTGTGAACATTTGCTTCAGGTGGTCCTGCACGTGGCCTAGTTTCTAGGTAAAACACGTGCATCCCAGTAAGAGAATGCTCATTCATCTTTAAGACTGGTGAGAAAGGTCACACCTGTTTATAATTAGGCTATACTTTGGCAAGGGAGGAAGTGGAGTGGGTTAGAGACTTTATAACTGCAGGAGGGGGCGAGAGCAGGTCTTTGTGGAGACAGAGAAGGGTCTGAATTGCGGCAGGGAATGGACGGAGAGTCTCTGGGGCTGGGGGGTGTCAGCTGAGTTTCATGCCCAACGAAAGTGACAAGAGTAAGGGCACTGCACAGTGACTCAGCTTTGTAATTCGCCACTTCCTGATCCTCCGGTTTCTTTTTCTGATGCACCTGTCTGAAACACACTCTATATAGGACTAGGTGTATCTCTCAGAGAGACATCCTTTGTCACGTGGGCATCTTACCTGATAGTCCCAGACCCCTCGTAAGTCACATGGCTTACCCTCACAAAAAGTTCCAAACCTCTCAGGGCTGCGGTTCGATAATTCTAACATATCAGCCCTAATAGCTAAAATAATACCTTCCTGTTTTGATGCTAGAGACGCTAATGTAGAAAAATCATAAAGGAACACTTTCATTAAAAAAAAATTTTTTTTAGAAAGAAAATGACCCCTCAATTGCAACAGTATACCTTCAGGAAAATGGAATAAAGATAAACCGATATGTAGTTAGCTGGCTATAAACAGATTGGTAGATAAAGCTTCGTCTTAATGTATTTATAATGTTCTACTGTGAAACATTCATTTTATTAAAACTACTCAACACTTCAAAAAATAAGTACATTAAAGCATAATTTATCTTCTTTTAACAAAAACGAGGACCTTAAATTTTACACACGCTAGCCAGTTACAACACTGCAGAGTCGACAGGATTCCTGCCTCAGAGGCCTGCCCACGTTTCAGAGCCCACGCGGACACGGTACCTTAGTTGCGGCGTCAAAGCAGATAAACCCGGTGCTGAAGTCGATCGTGAGCCCCATCAGATGGCTCTCCAGCACACACGCATACGTCTTGCACTAGGAAGAGAAACAGTGTTACTTTCAGTATTAATGCAATGTCGGTGTGGTAGCCCGTACAGTATCTAACTTGAGATCAACTGTGATGGTAGCAGGAGGATAGATGATCCACATCACACCTTTTTTTTTTTTTTTTAATTTGCCAAATGATGTGTGCACTAACCAGAAACAGAGAGAGAAGTGAAAAAGTACCCCTTGACCTTCAATGGGGAATGGTCAGGCTGCCATTCCTTCTCCTCCATCTCTCCCTCCTTTCAGGATTTTGGGCACACATGTACATGTGTCTGGAATGTTCTCCAAGCCTTCAGGTGCAGGACTTGAGTCACGCAATCAGTCATGAGGGATCCAGCCGCCTCTACCGTCATGCCACCAGCTGGTCCAACCACATCTTAATGCTCATGAAACAGGCTGAGTGCTTTTGCCTTGTGAGGGGACATGAGGGCCGAGTTTCCAGTCCTTCTCCAGCTCACCCTGCATGCACACACCTAGGGCCACACGGCCTCACTTCACTCCATTATCAAGAAAACTAGTCCAAAATGATTTAAATGTAGGCAAGGGGGTGTTAGGTTGTTCCATCCTGTAGCCAAGACCACTGTATTTTCAGTAAGTCAAAAGAGAATCATAAAAAAAATGAAATTCTTCCTCAAATTCTCAGCACATTTCATGGGTATTATTAAAAGAGAACTCAGGCACAGAAACGCAGATTCAGTGATCCAGGCAAAAGAGTCCCTCCCGACTGGTTGCATCTCTGTCCGTCCTTCCATGGGGCACAACTACCTCCCGGAGGTATCTGACGGCTTATGTGGGAAACTTAGACATCCTCCACAAATCAAGCAAGGACTTTGCATGCTGAGATCGGGTTATATTATACTTATATAAATATTTTAGGAAGGTTAATGATTGTGGATACAGAAATATTGAAAAAGATAAAAATCAAATATAAAATGAAAACGTGGAGCTGCGGTATACAGCATGATGCATGGTGATACCTAGGTCAGTTTCAGCTGCCTTCAGTTTGAAACTATCCGGGATATTCAAATGATGGAAAGTGCGTGACCCACATGCCACGTGGGAGAGAGAGAGACGTCTGTCTCAGCAAACGCTCAGTACTAACCTGTGCATTGTATTTGTTTATATAATGTGCAAACCCCACACTAACGCGCACACTGACTGCCATCGTGGGGCACTAACTTAGGTTGCTGGCATCAAAAAGCTATATCCATGTGTTCAAACCTAATTTATATAGCAACATGATAAACATCCTAAATTACCCATTTGGAGATAAAATTTCAAAAAGGTAGGTTAGATAAGACATTTGGGCATCAAATGTTCATTTTGGGGTGTAGTTATGTTTGCTTAATACATGAGCATCCACTCATTAGAACTTTATTAAAATGATTGTCAACATTAAGAAATGTTCAAGGCTATATAATTTTCTCCTAGTTTATACTTAATTGTATGCTATTTTCAAGGGCTGTCAATTAAAAAAGAACATGCCAGGTGAAAATGTATTCAGCAGAGTGCATTAAAATTTTCCCATTAAGTTTAGCATTACAGATAATTTCTCCACAATCATTAACTTGAAGCAGATATGCTAGAAATTGAAACCCACTGAAGCTCAATACTATAATTTACAATGTTAATAAACATATCATGAGTATACTTAATAGGTTTAATTTTAAAGTATTTGATTTTGTTACTTAATCTATGTTCATTTAATAAAAATAGAATTACATATAAATAAAATGATACTTTTAGAATTATAGATAAATAAAATAAAAATGATACTTTTTAGGGGAATTTAAACAAGAAAAAAATGTTAAAGACTTTTGCCTTAGGGTATGCATGCTGTTGGAGAGAGATTAGACACAGAGAAGTGAGAAGGAAAGTGAGAAAAATCACACCCCAGGGGTTGGCCACATGGCAATCCCTCCTCCACTCTCCTCCTGAGATCTTGGACATGCACACACATGTGCCCAAAGTGATTTTCAAACCACTGGGTCCAGGACTCAAACCGTCATCGGCCAGGTGGAAGTTCAGCAATGTAACCACTATACCATCTGTTGGTCCCCCACACAAGGAATATTTAAAAGTCAATTGATTAATGTTCTTCCTTTCTGCCTGTTTCACAATGAGATGTATTCATTGTCTGCTTTATTTTTTCTAACTTTAATAGTAATAAAATACTGAAAATATAGAAGAAAAGACATTAGGTTATTTAAGTACATTCACATTCTTTAATTTTGAGAGACTACGGAAGTGTGCAGCTGTTGAGTATTGCTTCCCGATGTAGTAAACAAAGGGAAACTCTGAAATCTATGGAATTAAAAGCAAACGAGGCATTAAGTATCTTATTTTTTACTTCCGATACGTGTTAAATTGGCATTGTGAGTAGATAAAGACATAGACCCGAGCATTTCACTGGACATCAGCTTACAGAATGCAAGGCCCAGATCCTAGGAACAGGATTAAAATAAGGAGCAAAACATTACTTTCATCTTTATCTCATTTCTGAAGACCAGGACACTGGACAAATGTGGGGGAACTGTCATGTAGTTACTTCTAAGTGAAGTGGAATAATTTGGAGAATTATAATGAAGAAAATCTAAACATACACTATAAATAAAAATATCACCTTCAGTCAGTTAAATTATATTTCAATCCCTTAAAGTGTTCTTAGATGTTGACAATATAAAATAATATGTGAGGTACTTCCCATCTTTCTGTTTTTACATTAAAATATTCACTTGAATTGAGACAGTATGCAGTTAAATCACAGAACCTGTCTCTTAACTACTTGAGCACTTTTACATATAGACAGCTGAAAGGAGTTGGTAGAAACTGTCCGTTAATTGGACAATGAGACAAATGGAACCCGAGTCTTCTCCCGGCTGTTCCCTAGGGTCACGCCACTCTTCAGCAGCTGGGTGTGCTGACCTCAGAGGCTTTTACTCAGAACAGAGATCAGCATGGCAACAATGAGCAGCCGTGTCTTCCAGTGCAGGCCACGCTCCGGCCCCGGCTGTGATGTGACGCAGCATTCCCCTTTGGAACTGTGTCCCTGTGAGCACGGAGGTCCTGGCTCTGAGTCCTCAGCACAGCCAGGGCAGGCGATGTCCGCTTTATCCTGGGAGGGGAGGCAGGCACAGGACCTGCCCTGGGGTGGGCCCCGCTCCATCCCCACGAACTGCAGAGGCTGCGGGCTCGGTGGGGTCTGGGCTAGACATGACTTCTCGCTTCTCAAGTTCCGGAAATACCCTTTGGGCACGCGTGATGTGCAACATGCACAAGCTGCAGTTGCAACGTGAGCAAACAGTCCGAGCAATCCCTACCGGGCCGTGGGGTATGATAAGTGCTTATGACATGTCCCTCCGGCACAAAAGCCAGTGCGAACCGACCAAAGACAGGCAAGACGAGACCTTGCACTCCAAAGCGGGCCCGATGGATGAGCGTCCAGGATTGTCATGGAATGAAGCACAATGATCAATGGGCAGGGCCGATCGAAAATCAGGAACAGGGTCAGGAGAGTGAGACCTTGGAAGGAAGGTCAAATACGTTGGGGTTTCGAAGGGCAGAAATGAAGGGAAGGCCCTGGAAGACGGAGCAGTGTGAGCGAAAGGAGACAACCTGGAACGTAGCCGCGAACTGTGCAGTCAGGTTTGGAGAACAGACACCACCCTGTCAGCCATTCATTAAAACCAGAGCTGCTTTTTAAGCTTTGCTGTAGGGTGCATGCACACAGGCTTGTCATAGACAGAGAGAGGGAGGGAGAATGAGATGGGACCCCGGGGGGTGCCCATGCAGCACCTCAGCAGTGGGATTTCCAAGCCCACAGGTCTGAGACTCAAACTGCAGTCGGCCATGTGGGGTCCAGAGCCATAACTGTCATGCCACCTCCTGGCCCCACGTTTTCTACACTAGCTTTAAATTATAGTGTGTAATTAATTGTACCAACATACTCTTGACCAGTAAGTAAGAGACCAGAAATACCCCACTGTGAGAAGACGAAGATGTTCAGAGCTGCATCACTCTTCATTCAACACGGCTAATGACGGCATAGACCGAGGGAGGACGCACCTGGGGGAGGCGGCCACGCCTCCTTGGGGTTGGGGGCTCACCTGTATCCGTTCCACTTCTAAGAAGGTGGCGGTCTGGAAGGCTCTCTCCCACTGGGCCAGGTCGCAGTCCAGCTCCACGGAGAAGTAGAGGTCCTCCCCGGACTCGGACTGCACGGTGAAGCAGTGTTTCCGCCGGTCCAGCAGGTCGCTGTCCTGATGGGAGCCTGGAGTTACACAGCTGCCACGCCTGCCACCAGGCCGCGCACGCCCACCGCACACCCGCGCTCCCTCCCGGCCCAGCCCCTGAGCCCTGGCCAAACCGACCTCCCAGGACTCGGGGTCAGGAGGCAGAGCCTGGCAACCACGCCGGCGTTTGTGGCGCAAAGTATCGTCTGTTGATTCCGTATGTAGGTAAGGTCACTTCACCGGGACTGATGCAGGGGTGAAACGGTGCAGGTAATAACCAGACCCGGTCCTAGAGACAGAAGTCACCCAGACCCCCTAGGGACAAAGGTGCTTGCTCTGACCTGGCGGTGTTTAACCAGCTGCTACACCGCACCTGGCCCGCCTGTCTCTTCTACACTGCACCTGGCCGGCCGCCCGGTCTCTGCTACCCTGCACCTGGCCGCCTGATCTCTGCTACACTGAACCTGGCCGCCTGGTCTCTGCTCACTGCACCTGGCCGCCCGATCTCTGCTACACTGCACCTGGCCGCCCCATCTCTGCTCACTGCACCTGGCCGCCCCGACTCTGCTACACCGCACCTGGCCGCCCCGACTATTTTACACCGCACCTGGTGGCCCGTCTCTTCTACCCTGCACCTGGCCGCCCTGTCTCGCCTCCTGCCATCCCACCCCTGGACCCCTGGAGTTGGAATGAGCCCTATGCATTTCTCAGCTGGATCTCAGGGTGACCCCCTTGGAATCAGTCAACATTATGGTTCGTCAGATTTGGGGCTGCCCTTCCAGAAGTGATGGCAGTCCAGATGCCACGGTGGAAAGGTAGCACGCCACCGTGTGAAGTCTTCCTGAACAACGGCCGCAACAACCACAGTTCAGGCCTCTGCGTCCATGACTAGCGTCACTGCTCTGACTCACAGTGAGATGAGCCATAAAACAGAAGCGCGGGTCTGCGGTTCCCACTCTTTCTTACTAGCACGTAACTCCGAAGCACCCCACTCAGGAGACTCGGGAAGGCATGCCCCCACCCCCTCCTCCCGTACAGAGTTGTCAAGGTCTAGAGAGTGAATAAGATTATGAGTGCATGTGCAAATTTCAGAAACCTTCTAGGCATGCTAAGTTTTTATTGAGTTGATTTCTGAAACCCTTAAAGAATCATTACAACCATCTTCTCCACGAGAACTGAAAATCAGTGTAACTACTCAACAGCAATTATATTGAATTTATAATAAAACTTATGAAATATGTATGCGGTGTTCTGAAAACTGTCAAAAGTGATCAACTGGTGTCTTTAATCTTTCCTTATATGGAGGTATATAAATATATCATCATTAAACACTCAAAATGTTAGATGGGATTCGCTGCTTTAGCAAACATTTAAAAAATAATAACTGCTGTCCCCGTTTCCCACATGAGCTCTTTAACTGCTGGAAGAGGCCTGATGAAGCAGTAGCTCCTTCCGGTGCTGTGGGATTTAGCTCTGACACTTGCTGCCCACAGGTACTCAGAAATCTAAACCAAAAATACACTTTCTTTGTATTGATTGATTTTCCAACTCCGTCTGAAGGGAGAAAAAATGAAAATGTAATGTTCTTGTAAGTATAGTCCAAGGATAAAGAAGTTATAAAGTACTTCTCAGGAATTCAGAGCGGACGCGGTCCTGGGAGGGTGACAATGGCAGGTGTTAAATAAATAACCATGCAAGTAAGAGTGAATTATTCTAAGAGCTATTATAAAAATGCAGGGGGTGCTGCTCAGTGTAGGTTGGGAAGCCAGGGCTGTTGGAATGAGCCCTATGCATTTCTCAGCTGGATCTCAGGGTGACCCCCTTGGAATCAGTCAACATTATGGTTCGTCAGATTTGGGGCTGCCCTTCCAGAAGTGATGGCAGTCCAGATGCCACGGTGGAAAGGTAGCACGCCACCGTGTGAAGTCTTCCTGAACAACGGCCGCAACAACCACAGTTCAGGCCTCTGCGTCCATGACTAGCGTCACTGCTCTGACTCACAGTGAGATGAGCCATAAAACAGAAGCGCGGGTCTGCGGTTCCCACTCTTTCTTACTAGCACGTAACTCCGAAGCACCCCACTCAGGAGACTCGGGAAGGCATGCCCCCACCCCCTCCTCCCGTACAGAGTTGTCAAGGTCTAGAGAGTGAATAAGATTATGAGTGCATGTGCAAATTTCAGAAACCTTCTAGGCATGCTAAGTTTTTATTGAGTTGATTTCTGAAACCCTTAAAGAATCATTACAACCATCTTCTCCACGAGAACTGAAAATCAGTGTAACTACTCAACAGCAATTATATTGAATTTATAATAAAACTTATGAAATATGTATGCGGTGTTCTGAAAACTGTCAAAAGTGATCAACTGGTGTCTTTAATCTTTCCTTATATGGAGGTATATAAATATATCATCATTAAACACTCAAAATGTTAGATGGGATTCGCTGCTTTAGCAAACATTTAAAAAATAATAACTGCTGTCCCCGTTTCCCACATGAGCTCTTTAACTGCTGGAAGAGGCCTGATGAAGCAGTAGCTCCTTCCGGTGCTGTGGGATTTAGCTCTGACACTTGCTGCCCACAGGTACTCAGAAATCTAAACCAAAAATACACTTTCTTTGTATTGATTGATTTTCCAACTCCGTCTGAAGGGAGAAAAAATGAAAATGTAATGTTCTTGTAAGTATAGTCCAAGGATAAAGAAGTTATAAAGTACTTCTCAGGAATTCAGAGCGGACGCGGTCCTGGGAGGGTGACAATGGCAGGTGTTAAATAAATAACCATGCAAGTAAGAGTGAATTATTCTAAGAGCTATTATAAAAATGCAGGGGGTGCTGCTCAGTGTAGGTTGGGAAGCCAGGGCTGCTCGAAGAGGACAGGCTGTCAACAGTGACTGACAGGTGGTTGGGGGTCAGGCTCACGGTGGAAAGGAAGTGCTCTTTCTGGAGAGGAAAGCAGGGCTGCAGGGGCCTGGTGCAAGGGCAGGTGCTTTCCAGAATCCCACAGGGACACGGCGGAGAGACCGCGTGCAGAGCCCGGGAAGGGAAATGGGGCTCCTGGCCACGTTACCAATTTTGGACTTAAATACAGGTATAATGACAGGCCATTGGCAAGAATTTTAATATGTCTACTACATACGTTGCAGGTAAGTCGATGTCTACATTAACTTTTTTATTTTTATTTTTAAGGTTTTTTTTCCACAGGGTACATGCACTCACCAGAGAGAAACAGAGAGAAAGTGAGATATCATCCCTCGGTGAAGAAGTGCCTTCTCCTCCATCCTCCTCTCAGGATTTTAGGCCTGTTCACACACACACACACACACACACACACACACACGTGGTTTTCAAGTTGCCAGGTCTGGGACTTGAACCGAGGTCAGCCATGTGGGAGTGCCGTGACTTAACCACCATGTCACCTGCTGGCCTATGTTATCTTTGTAAGTTGAGGACTCTGGTATGGAAACTGGAGCTAACCCTGTGGAGTTTCCAGAGACGTTGCCAGTTTTGTGGCTTATTAAATTGGGCTTTACTCCCCTTGCAATATAAATGTTAATCAATGTCATTACTTGCTAGACATTTTGATCATTTTTTTTTCCATTTTGTCAATAGCAGGTTGTAATAGAATCTTTAAATGACCTTCGTGTGAGATTTCCTATTCTCTAGGTAAAACTTAACTCCTTTACTCATTTAAAACTCAATCTAGTGTCTTATATTACATTACCCGAGTGTCGATGCTCTCCAGATAGCAAGCTGGCTAATCAGCTCTGTAAATAGAGGCTCAGCATTTCCGAATGCGTGCCGTTTGCCATTGTTACCGCAAGGCTCTTCGAACTCACTGACTCATACTAGACAGTGCCCTGGCATCAGGCCCCAGTGAGCAAGGTGAGTAGACAGAAAATAACGACACTTAGGACAGACTGCAGAGGTAAGTGCGAAGGGACCGAGGAAGGTGCGACGAATCATCCTGGGACAGTTTCATTTTAGCAAAAGATTGCAGGATCCTCAAGGACTTAGTGACAATTGCAGGAGCCATGAGTCACAAGCCACAGGAAGTCCAGGATCATGCTGAAGAGTTCCCGTGAACGCCCTGCCTGGACACGCCAGTGCAGGAACAGGGCAGGACCGGCCTACTTTGGGGAGAGAAGAGCAGGTGAATACAGGAGGGAGAAACTGCAGAATAAAACAGCTAGTTGCCATCTTCATCTAAAGTTCAGAAGACAGTTTGATATCTTTTGTTTGTTAGTTTTTCTTTTTACTTTATACACTTAATTGCTGTACATCACTTGGTCTGTAAGTTGAAGTTACACACACGAGTACACTTCACACTGAACAATGGCTTAATGAGCATGCGTGAACCTGGAGCCCCACGTCGACTGGACGCACTCCTAGCACGGTGAGTAATCACGCATGTGTATCTGCATAGTGTAAATGAGAGCGTGTACACACGTACACAGCGGAGATGTCAACCATCTGTGGAAAACAGAATTAAACTACAGGCTCAATGTGGCATCAAAGGATTTTGAAATCCCTGTGTGGTATGTTCGTGTTACACATTTTCCATGAGCTTTACACTTGCTCTCGTGTGTGTGTGTGTGTGTGTGTGTGTGTGTGTGTGTGCTGACGTTCTCGCATGCTCAGGTGGCCTGTGCTGCGGTGAGGGGATAGGAACACGGGCACTGGCTTCAGAGCGCTGTCTGGTACCATCGCAGCCCCCCAGGTAGTCCTGCACAAACTGACTGTGTCTGTAGCTTCCTTCGTTCATCTAGAAAACAAAGTAGTTAATGCTTCTGATAGCGATGACTAGACAGCAAGATATGTAATTGTGTATAAGATGTATGTGTGGGGAACCAGCAGTTAGCGTAATGGCTATGTCACTGGATTCCCAAGTAGTTGACCGCGGTTTGTGTCCCGGACCTGGTGGCTTAAAACTCACACTGGGCGCGTGTGCGTGTGTGCCCAAGATCCCGAGAGGAGAATGGAGGAGAAAGGATTGCAGCATGACCATCCCCCCCTGGGGGGTTGATTT